ACCTTTAAGCAAAAATGCATGATGCAGTCTTGTATGAACTATACGACATCTGGTAAAGGCCACTTGATCAAATCTGGTTTTAGGTTTAAAAGATTATTTAGAGATTTCCAGGTGGATTTCATGTAATTTATTATTTGCATCTCTTCTTGCCACTTATTGATTATATAACGATTAATAATAGGTCTGATATCTGATGGAGGAATTTGACATTCATTTTCTTCCTGATTAAAAGCCTCCTTTGCAGCTGCATCAGCTCGCTCATTTCCTAAAAGTGGCCTGGAACCCAGCAGAAGATAATACTGACGAACTGATTCTGTAGATGATCCACGAATGAAAAAGTGATATAAAAATGCATTCACTGATGCAACTGAGCTATTTTAGCAAACCTACTGCATTAGAAAACCCATACATATGAAGCTGGATATGTGACGCTAACGTTCAAAAGAACCAGTTTTCTGGTCTCGCAGCATCTTACAATTATTTTGAAGACATAATGTGATATTGTGCAAGAAATTAGGCTTTCCCCGTAAATCATACTTTGTGTGAAAAGGAATACAAGTTTTACTGCCTCTAGTGTTCATTTCAATGGGAAACTGCAACCATTCATTTTGAGTTTTGCAGAAGTATAGGTACACTCTTAAAAATAAAGGTGCTTCACGATGCCATAGAAGAACCTTTTTTGTCTAAATGGTTCCATAAAGAACCTTTAACATCTGAAGAACCTTTCTGTTTCACAAAAGCTTCTTTGTGGCGAAAGAAGGTTCTTCAGATTATAAAAAGGTAAGAAAGAGATGCTTCTTTAAAGAACCTTTGACTGAATGGTTCTTTGTGGAACCAAAAATGGTTCTTCTATGGCATCGCTTGAAGAACCTTTTGAAGCACCTTTATTTTTAAGAGTGTAGAGGCACGTATTTCCAATAAGCCTGGGTAGCAATATTATAAAAACATTCTAAAATAATATTAAATCATTTGAATGCATCTTTGATTCAGAGCAGGAAAGTGTCCAACAAAACAAAACAACATAGAAGCGCCAAACAGGTTTGAGTTTAACATTACCCGTGGGATGAATTTTACAGAAACATTAGCATTTCCTCTCCCGAGAGACTAATCGCTGCCGAACAATCAGAAATGTACACCACAGCAGCAAACGCAGATGATGCTCTTGCAGGTTGAAGCCAAATCCGGACAGCTGTGACTGGAAAGGCTCGCTCTCAGAACGGCTGCGCTGATAACGTCTGATGAGTGAACGCTGACAGGAGGAAGAGCCTGTTTTACGTCAAATTTAGGCAAAGAGAGTGACGATAGCATTCTCCAGGTTAAAACAGAGCTGGATGTTGGTTTGGTGGAGCAGTGGGAACAGCTCGGGATGCATTCACATTAAGAACATTAGACCTGAATTGTGGTTCTTCACCTACGTCCTTCAGTCAGAAAATCTAATTACCTTCATTTGTCGCTTTCAACTCGCTCTGCCAAGGTTTAGCATTGAAAAGCATCTAAAAAGTGGAATATATTTTGAAAAGGACACCCACACACTCAAACCATGAATCTTCCCAGGAAAAAAAAAAATGGACCAGGAACCGTTTCAGAGCTCTGACTTTGGTGGTGATTTTGGAGATGATGATGAAGCTATTTGTTTGATATTCCTCGGGTCTTTTTGCAGAGGAACCCTGACGCCAGCAGGAAGGTCGGGCAGTCTGGACTCCCCAACTCTTAAATTTCACGAGGGCCACGGGGAGGAGCTTGTGAAACAAAAGACGACCTTTCTGTACACACTCACACCAGTGGAAAACCTTACAACATCAACACGAAGCCCACCTCCAGCTGAGAGACAGAGAGATGGACGGCATTCAAGAGCGAACCAGAGTCTAAGACGGCTACATTTCAATTTTTTTTCCAGATTTTCAAAAACAATGAAACAGATGAGGACAGAATTACATGTATGGATCAGACAGCAGCCAAAGAAAGAGAAAAATAAAAAGAGGAAGTTGAGAACTTAAGCGAGATACGAGAGATGAGGTCCTAAATGGTGAACTTGACGTGGATTTTTGCTCTAGTGATCTTCATCTGTGACACTGTTACATTCTGACTTTATAACAAGAAATTAGTGAGTTATTAAGTCAGAATTTATATATCTCAATTCTGAGAAAAGAAGTCAGAAATGTGAGATATAAACTCACAAATGTGAGGGAAAAAGTCAGAACTAAGAGTTTATATCATGCAATTCTAAAAACAGACTCAGAAATGTGAGATATAAACTCACAAATGTGAGGGAAAAAGTCAGAACTAAGAGTTTATATCATGCAATTCTAAAAACAGACTCAGAAATGTGAGATATAAACTCACAAATGTGAGGGAAAAAGTCAGAACTAAGAGTTTATATCATGCAATTCTAAAAACAGACTCAGAAATGTGAGATATAAACTCACAAATGTGAGGGAAAAAGTCAGAACTAAGAGTTTATATCATGCAATTCTAAAAACAGACTCAGAAATGTGAGATATAAACTCACAAATGTGAGGGAAAAAGTCAGAACTAAGAGTTTATATCATGCAATTCTAAAAACAGACTCAGAAATGTGAGATATAAACTCACAAATGTGAGGGAAAAAGTCAGAACTAAGAGTTTATATCATGCAATTCTAAAAACAGACTCAGAAATGTGAGATATAAACTCACAAATGTGAGGGAAAAAGTCAGAACTAAGAGTTTATATCATGCAATTCTAAAAACAGACTCAGAAATGTGAGATATAAACTCACAAATGTGAGGGAAAAAGTCAGAACTAAGAGTTTATATCATGCAATTCTAAAAACAGACTCAGAAATGTGAGATATAAACTCACAAATGTGAGGGAAAAAGTCAGAACTAAGAGTTTATATCATGCAATTCTAAAAACAGACTCAGAAATGTGAGATATAAACTCACAAATGTGAGGGAAAAAGTCAGAACTAAGAGTTTATATCATGCAATTCTAAAAACAGACTCAGAAATGTGAGATATAAACTCACAAATGTGAGGGAAAAAGTCAGAACTAAGAGTTTATATCATGCAATTCTAAAAACAGACTCAGAAATGTGAGATATAAACTCACAAATGTGAGGGAAAAAGTCAGAACTAAGAGTTTATATCATGCAATTCTAAAAACAGACTCAGAAATGTGAGATATAAACTCACAAATGTGAGGGAAAAAGTCAGAACTAAGAGTTTATATCATGCAATTCTAAAAACAGACTCAGAAATGTGAGATATAAACTCACAAATGTGAGGGAAAAAGTCAGAACTAAGAGTTTATATCATGCAATTCTAAAAACAGACTCAGAAATGTGAGATATAAACTCACAAATGTGAGGGAAAAAGTCAGAACTAAGAGTTTATATCATGCAATTCTAAAAACAGACTCAGAAATGTGAGATATAAACTCACAAATGTGAGGGAAAAAGTCAGAACTAAGAGTTTATATCATGCAATTCTAAAAACAGACTCAGAAATGTGAGATATAAACTCACAAATGTGAGGGAAAAAGTCAGAACTAAGAGTTTATATCATGCAATTCTAAAAACAGACTCAGAAATGTGAGATATAAACTCACAAATGTGAGGGAAAAAGTCAGAACTAAGAGTTTATATCATGCAATTCTAAAAACAGACTCAGAAATGTGAGATATAAACTCACAAATGTGAGGGAAAAAGTCAGAACTAAGAGTTTATATCATGCAATTCTAAAAACAGACTCAGAAATGTGAGATATAAACTCACAAATGTGAGGGAAAAAGTCAGAACTAAGAGTTTATATCATGCAATTCTAAAAACAGACTCAGAAATGTGAGATATAAACTCACAAATGTGAGGGAAAAAGTCAGAACTAAGAGTTTATATCATGCAATTCTAAAAACAGACTCAGAAATGTGAGATATAAACTCACAAATGTGAGGGAAAAAGTCAGAACTAAGAGTTTATATCATGCAATTCTAAAAACAGACTCAGAAATGTGAGATATAAACTCACAAATGTGAGGGAAAAAGTCAGAACTAAGAGTTTATATCATGCAATTCTAAAAACAGACTCAGAAATGTGAGATATAAACTCACAAATGTGAGGGAAAAAGTCAGAACTAAGAGTTTATATCATGCAATTCTAAAAACAGACTCAGAAATGTGAGATATAAACTCACAAATGTGAGGGAAAAAGTCAGAACTAAGAGTTTATATCATGCAATTCTAAAAACAGACTCAGAAATGTGAGATATAAACTCACAAATGTGAGGGAAAAAGTCAGAACTAAGAGTTTATATCATGCAATTCTAAAAACAGACTCAGAAATGTGAGATATAAACTCACAAATGTGAGGGAAAAAGTCAGAACTAAGAGTTTATATCATGCAATTCTAAAAACAGACTCAGAAATGTGAGATATAAACTCACAAATGTGAGGGAAAAAGTCAGAACTAAGAGTTTATATCATGCAATTCTAAAAACAGACTCAGAAATGTGAGATATAAACTCACAAATGTGAGGGAAAAAGTCAGAACTAAGAGTTTATATCATGCAATTCTAAAAACAAACTCAGAAATGCGAGATATAAACTCACAATTGCAAGAAAAAAATGTTTACTTTATAACGCAATTGTGACATATCTCGCAATTCCAAGTTTTTTTTCTTCTCAGAATTGCGAGATATAATGTCGCAATTGAGTTATAAAGTAAACTCGCAAGTCTGACTTTTTTTCTTGCTATTGTGAGTTTACATCTCGCAATTCTGAGTTTGTTTTTAGAATTGCATAAATTTGCAATTGTGAGAAAAAAAGTCAGAATTGCGACATAACTCGCAATTGTATATATAAAACACGCAATTGCGAGTTTATATCTTGCAATTACGACAAAAGCATTCAGAATTGTGAGATAAAATGTCACAATTACTTTTTTTAATTTTTATTCAGTGGCAGAAACGGGCTTCCATATATAAGAGACAAAATAATTTTTCTTGGAGAAGTTCCTATCACTAAGTTTAATCCGATGACATCTGAGCTAGTAGAGCGCTGCACCAAACACATTCAAATTAAGTCATTGTCATACTTTTAGTTGAAAATATGGCTCCTTTTTATGTAAATACATTTATACAGAAACAGATTTATAAATGTGTTTTATTCGCAAATGTCAGTAGTATTTTCCATGTCACACTTAGCAGGCTGTAAACCCATTTTATATTTTCAAGAACCAATTCAAGTGTCTCTGGATCACAGTGGTGGATTGGTGGACGCTCTACGGTAAACAGTAAAGTATGTCAGATCATAGTCGTCTGCTACATCCTTCACAACCAAGCTCTCAGATCCAGCCTGCAGGATGGAGAACTGCGTGGTGCAAATTGTGTTCAGCGCTAGATTTTTGAGCATGCTCATTCCATTACCTGATTTGCATAATTCCTTTAGTGCTAAAAGTGCGGACTAAAAATATGGAGCACTGCAAGCCAGAAAAAGGACAGACGGAGAGATGGCATGACAGAGGAGAGAGATTAAAGCCAAAATAGACGCGCGAAAGGTAAGAAATATGAAGAGATGGACTGGATGAACGATAAGAGGAGATTTATGGAGGGATGATCTGACCTTGCGGTGCTCCTGCAGGTTGAGTGAGGATGAGCATTTCTTATTACAGATGGTGCATACCAACTTCCTGCGAGCACTGCCTACACACACACACACACACACACACACACACACACAGATCGTACATCACATGAGCAGCAGGACACATCCTGATGGCATGAGGAGCTGCTAATGGAGACACTGCATCAGTTCCAAATAATAAACATCAGGAAGTCCTTACATGAATCAGTTCCTGGTTCAGCATGAAGTACAACACCAAGACGAAAACATCTATATTTAAAAGGGGTGAAAGGTCAGCTAACACGTATTTCCCGTAGAAAAGGAAGATACAATATCCCTCAAAAACTATTTGAGAAGAATTGAAAAGGTCATTCCACACTTCGTAGCACTTTATTTGGTAATACACTTTAATGTTAGTCAAGGTTTCTTGCAGCAAAAACAGTCAGATTTTGTGTTTTAGTTTTGTTTATTTGTTTGTTTTTGGTAGTGTCCTTAAAATTTCAATATGTAAATGAACTATCTTGTGATTGGTTAATTTCAGCATATTGGCATACTGTTGAAACGTAAAGGGATAGTTCACCAAAAAAAAACAATTCTGACATCCTTTTTTCACCCTCAAGTCGTTCCAAACCTGCATGATTTTCTTTCTTACAGTATGTTGAACACAGAAGATACTGGTAACCAGAACGCTGCTGGTAGCCATTGACTTGGAATGGAAGTGAGTGAGTGAGTGAGTGAGTGAGTGAGTGTGAGTGAGTGAGTGAGTGAGTGAGTGAGTGAGTGAGTGAGTGAGTGAGTGAGTGAGTGAGTGAGTGAGTGAGTGAGTGAGTGAGTGAGTGAGTGAGTGAGTGAGTGAGTGAGTGAGTGAGTGAGTGAGTGAGTGAGTGAGTGAGTGAGTGAGTGAGTGAGTGAGTGAGTGAGTGAGTGAGTGAGTGAGTGAGTGAGTGAGTGAGTGAGTGAGTGAGTGAGTGAGTGAGTGAGTGAGTGAGTGAGTGAGTGAGTGAGTGAGTGAGTGAGTGAGTGAGTGAGTGAGTGAGTGAGTGAGTGAGTGAGTGAGTGAGTGAGTGAGTGAGTGAGTGAGTGAGTGAGTGAGTGAGTGAGTGAGTGAGTGAGTGAGTGAGTGAGTGAGTGAGTGAGTGAGTGAGTGAGTGAGTGAGTGAGTGAGTGA